CAATTTATGAATTCGAATCTTACCTCGTCTGAATGTTTTTCCATATAATTGAGGGTAAATTCGTCGGCGTCGCTCAAGTAGAATTCGTGAAAGTTGAATTTCACGTGACTTCCTACAAACATGTCTTGTGGTTCGTAGTATTCTTCTTTCTTGGTGTTAAACATTGGTTGGTTGGGTTTCTTCACTCGAGTTCTCTCTAAGAATCTCCCGGTAATAAATCCTGCAATGTACGTATGACACTATTTGTAAGCATGTTATATATCCTCAAGTTCAAATGTGACATCGGTCAAGTTCAAATGTGAAATCGGTCAAGTTCAAATGTGACATAGGTCAAGTTCAAATGTAACATCGATCGGGGGACTTTTTCATGTCGTTCAGTGGATATCCACACTCAATCATGAATATTGTAAATTTCTTGATGATAAATACCACCGACCGTTCAAATGTGAACGTACATAGATTTCTTCTGTGAATAATGTATTATGTAAATCACGTGTTCGGGGACCTTGTGAATTACGCAACGTTAACAGTTGATGTAGCTCATACTGCACTCTTTAAATAACATAAATAAATATCCTACAGGTATATTAAACTTCCCATATAAGAAAATGTCACATAACAACATTAAATAATTAAAAAAAATCAATTATTAAAAATATTGAACAGTATCATATCAGGAGATGAATGTCCCATAAAGGAAGTCCAGCTCAGTACTACTTCTAAATGTATCAGTTCGTCATTTCATCACGTAAATTTGTTGTTGTTTTTTTTTTTGCTAAAATTCATAAGGTGATTTCACCTTATGAAATATACGATAAATATAAACAAGCTATAACCAAATATAGGAATTGTAATCATTCTACTGCAAAGGGATGGCAATGAACACATTCACAAAATTAAAATTTATGGATTTTTTTCTCACTTAAAGATTGTAAATAATTTGCAGATTCTGAAAAAAACACACGGAAGGGGTAGTCGTCTTGTACATGCAACTCACATCTGACAATGTCAATTAATTGTTGCACCCTCACCGGTTAGGTCTAATTTACTGTAGTATCTCATCGGTGAGGGCACAATACCTAAGGCCAATCCGAATCAGTCTTACCCGAGTTTCTACTTGGCGGTTCAAACACACTCAGTGTATCGTCACTCAAATAAAACGAGACGATGAATTTTCTATCCAAGTTGGTCGGCTCGGTAGAAATGAGTTTGGCGTTGAATCGCAAGACATCTTTCTCCTTGTCCACAAACTTTACGTAACTTTTGACTGGCCGCCTTGGCTCCAATTTAGATGGATAGCAATTTGCCAAAGAATCATCTTCCGAACCATAACCATTATACGGTGGGAAGCTGCTGGACGCAGAGGGCGTCTTCGGTGTGCCTGCTTTGATAGGTTGGATATCAGCTAGAAGGATGGATACAGAGCAGAAACACACATGACAGAATTTGTACAGGTAAAATATGAGAAGTCTTAGCCCTGTGTACATGGCTGTTTTAGAGGTGATATTTTCATTGGGAATTACCGACAAAGTCCCAACGAAAACAAGTACACGCACAGGTACAAGGCTAAGAGAGCCTGTAGTGATGACAGAACACATGGAAGTGTGTAACATACAACCGAGGTATCTGCGACACATACATCAGTAAAAAAATAGATTCTGCTGTACGTTTTTATTTTCAATTTGTTTTACGGCTACACATATGACGTTTGTGTGGTATAAACATCTCAATATTGTTATGTACACATTTAGGCGGAAATGGATTTTTTTATTAATTTTTAAAAGAAAGAAATAACAGTAGTACGAGACTGCACACGGCGTGGGAGTGATGGATGTTTGAGATGAAGGAATGGAAGCATTGTGATGATGGTACGATCAACAGCACTGCAAACGAAACTAAAAACAGACAACTAAAAACTACCCAAAACAAGGTTGGATGAAGTAAAAGATTGGATCACAGCAAAACAGAACACAAATGACTCACTGGTTCCCAACTGAGTTTGTAAATATTCCTTGGTGAATTTGTCACAGTCGTAAATGGTAAACTTCCTTCCCCAGACGTTGATGGTCTCCCCGATCTTCAAATCTTTGGCGGTGTACTTATCCGTGAAGTGTGGACCAGGCTAAAAGTATAACGATCCGGGAGAAAAAAACAATGTCAGTAGCTATTCACGCATCTCATCATCCTTTCGCAAGTCGCTAAGCACTCTTAGTTCTGACCACAGCAAATAATATGTCATTTCCGTCGTCATCGGATAATGAGACTTACTGCACGTCAGCAATAACAAATAAATGGACATCACGTCAGCCTCAAGAATAAATTTTAGTGTCATCATCCACATACAAGTAAATCAAATTTCGGCAAACATATTGTTCAATAGGCATATGTATAAATATTGTGTTCATTAATAATATTACCCAACTCCTTGTTAATGAGAAAAACAATGCAGTATTGCCAATGTTATCATTAATGTCGATAGCATCAGTTACTATATACACGTGTCATTAGTATACTCACGTCTGATCTATCTAACATCAGCCGTTGTTGTTTCCCGCTTCCCAGCACATTGAGTAAAAGATTGTTATTATTGCTGATCTGAGGTAAGAAACTACCCCTTGGCTTCGAAACCTTCGATCGGTGTAAGAAAACACGTCCTATCAACTCCCTGCCGGAGTTAGGAGGTAATACTTCCCGTATTTCTATTGTATCGTCGGCCAAATAGTAGTGCATTATCATGTTACGTTTGTCTCCGTACAACGATTCCCTGTCGTCCCAATAGCAGTAGAACCGCAAAACCTGTCCGTCGTGATCCAAAAATTGCTTCAGACTGTCCGTGCTCTCATACGGACGGCGTGAACGAGGAGAGTCCATCTCCTAAAAAGAAACAGCAGACACGTAAAATGAAAGGTTTAGAATCAACCAATAGAAAAACTAGTCGCGTTTTTCATAGTACAGTATTCGTGCGCTTTCAAAAAATAGTACGTAAGTCAAGTCATATGCAAATGTTTATATTTCGTCAAGCGATTTTTTTTTTCAAAATCACCATTAAAATAACGCTTCTTGCATACTATAAATCATAGCCCAGAGTAAAAATCAAATTCTAAAAATACCCACAAGTAAACTATACTAGCTCTACGGGAAACAAAACTTACGTTATCTCTCCATTCCTGGTAAGGGTCATAGGGTGTCGCCTCTGGTGAATTCAGTTTTCTTTCCATTTTGTCAAAAAATTGTCTTGTGAATGCGTCACATCCTGTGATGTGGAATGTTCGGTCATACAACGTTATGTCAATCCCGATATTGAAATCTTCTGCCATGTAGTACTCATCGTTGTGTGGGGGCGGTTTCTGTATACGGTGTCTTTTCAAAAATTTACCTGTCACAATCATATTATAGAAACAATGTGTCAACATATCATTACGTCATTTTGATGGAAGCTATACAGCTTTACGACTGTAGATTGTAGATTTAATGTAAAACATCGGGACTCTCGAAAAGGCAAGGTCGCCATCACATTACAGACTCAAATTATAACTTTGTTTTTTTAGATGTGTGGAGATAGGAGGTAGTGTGAATTCTTACCCTGTGGCATGCCGCTGTTGCGCGTTTCTGGTTCCACGACCACTATGGAATCGTCAGCCAGGAAAAACTTTATTTTACATTTTCTTATTCTGTATTGTTCGTGTGAAAGAAACACTGCTTCCTTGAAATAGGCATCAAAGCACAATACTTGTTTATCAAAAGCCGCCCATCTTGGACCAGTGCGGTTGGTCATTGGTAGTCGGGAATGACGCGAACGCGGTAGCTGGCCGGGAATGTGATCGCCGCCGATTCCTGGCTTTCTTGAACCCACCCATTGTGGAACACTCTGAACGTAATCGAAGTGCTGAGATCGTCGATAATTGTCCCTGCCAAGTAACTACAAAGACAAACAAACAAACAACCGGTAATTTCGTCTCAACATTCACGTGTTAAGTATCAACTTGATGTGTTACGAAGAACGGACACAATGAGACACAGTCCTCCTATCATTGAGAGAATATATATGAATCCAAAGTGCAGGTTTATAAATTATGCATAAAGTTGCGATTTTTTTCCAGGTTACACTACCCTGTCAGTGTGATCCCTACTTCTTCCGAAACGGTCAACATGCGAATACGGATACTCCTATCCCTGTATCCTCCGCCTGTTTCTTCGCTTCGCTACTGAAATATACTTCAGTACCTTTGCTATACAATTTTGTCTGCGCTTCGAGATTGGACATAGCGTGTTGATTGGTAACATTTTTAATGAGTAAAGTATGTATTCATGTGATTCAAACGCCCTTATTTGCATAAGTTATCGGAAGTTAACAAAGACCTGGTAGCTGGTACAGGTTACGAGAAATAAAAAGGCATTTTACTTTTTTACAGGAAATAAAATAAAAGTTCCATTTACAGTAAAAAATAGGTTTTTACACTTTACAAATAAAGCAAATTCCATTTTACATTTTTCAAAATTTGTGTTTAAGAAACAAAATTGGGAATTGCGTAAGAATTACGACATTTAATGTGGAAAATGCTTTATACACTTGCAAAAAATAAAATCTTTGTACAAATTACGAACAAATAAAATAATTGATTACATTTTACACCTTCTCCATGTCCACGAATTTACGTTTTTTTATTTATTTAAATTACGTTATTACGAAAAACAAACAAACAATTGATTACAGCTTACGAAAATACCCCTTGCCGACTCTCAACAAAATATCGATCGGTTTCATCGCCAATCGAGTCTCACAAATCCTATCTGTATAAAATCGAATCCGTTCTATAGTTCGCTTGGATATAGCACATAATGAGCAGTAGCGAAGCAGAGAAATGGACGGAGGAAGCTGGGGTAGGATACCCCTTAGTACAGACTGAATGTGCGAGATGTGGACCCCTTTCCAGACAGAAAAAAAACGCTTTTAAGACTCCGTCGCTCAGAAAACGACTCACTTTTAAATAAGCGACTCCTAATATACATTGAACCGGTTGTTTCAGAACATTTGTTTTCCCATTGTGTTGAAGCCGTGGAACATTCACTGCTCCAGAGAAAGTACGAAATAACATTACAACCTTGCCAATAATTTGCGCCTTCGTGCGACGAAGCGCTGTGTCATTAGGTATTAGTATATGAATGTCAGCAATGCAGTTCAATTACACAGCTTTGTTTTGATGTGTAGTTCGTCGCCATTTAGAATTCAGAATATCTAAAAAAGAAATATTTATGAACGCAATACCACTGATCAATATTGACAGTGCAGTATTATTGTTTTCTAACCTATTTCAAAAACGGTGCACAAAGATGTCATTGTTACACTCACTGAGACAGCACTGTACTATTTGTTACCCTATTTCTATCCAATTACTGGTATAAATTATATTTACTATAATCTCGTACATCGAATATCTTGATTGCATTTCGTTAGCTGTCCCTTTTCCCATCCCTTTTTCTCTGTCCCGTGCTTACATTCATATCCAGTCGAAAACACAAATGAAAATGCTTGCTAGAACAAAGCACCTGATCAGAGTCGAAGTTCGACAATACTGTACGATCAGCCTCGTTTTAAAGGGTGGTGGTCGTCTCGTCGCGTTCTGTTCGATATGGGACTCATAGCGACGTACACAACATTGTTTGTTTACATGAATTCCGAACACGCGCTCCGCGACGACCACCGCGCTTTAACCTCATACTTAGTATAGACGGAGTAAATTGACAGACAGGAAGTAAAACAAAAATATATTTCATATATTTTCAGAATGAATTTTGAAATCGATCTTTCAAGCCCTGGGATATTATCCGTATGTTTGTAGCTATCATAATCTGCGCGAACTGCGCGTTTCACCAAAATGAGAGTTGCCATAACAACCACAATAAGATATACATGTATATGTGAACATCCACTCGGGAAGGATTTTTCAAGTTTATCTACACGTACTGCGACGGGTGTTGCATACCAACACGTTCATTCAACGTTGAATGTTAACAAGTTATACTGTCAGTGATTATACGCTTGGCGATTTAATAAAAAGATTTGGGATGAATATGACAACATTCTAGACAAACTTAATCCAAATAGCCATGGCGACACCTCGAGGACTAGGCATACTTTATTATCAGCTGTATATTGATTTTCACTGTGCTATAATTTATGGAGTACACCCAAGAAATGAACACACAATGTCGTGAAGCCATCGTGTATATTTCATACACTGGCCAATTAATGTGGCGTTGAACTGGTCACAAATAAAACATTATATTGTCATGCCTTTTAATTAAGCTTTTATTTCAATAGGGACACGTAGAATTGTGGAAAAATATAGTTGAACTGCCAATCACTACACTGTATGCATGAAGAGGGCATATAGCGATGTACACTGTGACAATGACGAGAATTATTCAGTCTGCTCGGCCTGGGGCATATGTGTCACGGCGCGGGAGAGTGGATCAGTCGGTGTAGGCATGATTCATTTCAGGCTTACAGTGAATGATAATCTTGACTTTTTCACGATGCCGTGGGCGATCATGAACTTGTAGTAATGTAATTCTGGAATCCCTATATTTAAATTAAATGTGTGCGGTCACCATGGCGATAACGCAAACACGGTACACCGGACACGTGTATTGCTTCTCGTTGTATTAAATTCCATCGCCGAAAGCAGCTACTCGCTGCCATGAATACGAATTAAATGAATGATATGGCTATGTACCAACGTATGCTGAAATACGGGAAGTCAACTGAGTTTGGGTGCTATTCAATAAATGGACCCACATTCTGACCTTCGTTTTGAATCTGAACCTTTATTTGTAAGAATGGTTGCCATGGAGTCCCGTCCATTATATCAGCGAAACACACATGTCCATTATTGTCAATTTCCCGAATACTTGCACAATATCCTCCCTGTTGCCATGGAAACTACTACCACCGACGCAATGAATCATGCTAAGTGCCCAACGCAATTTGGTTAAAAGTCTACTGCGTTGCCGCGGCAACAATATAACTTTTAGTTATGAGGGTCGACGATCAAGTGCGTCTAATATTTACCTGGTGGTTTATTCAACGATCCAACAATCACGGTACCACTGCGCATTACCAGACAAGTCAAATTATACTCGTTTTGAATAAACGAAAGAAACGTCACGGTTCATTCACCGGAAAGGGAAATGGGGTGATAATTTTCCGCTTAACATTAAACACGGTCAGTGACTGTTTTCTGATCGAGGTCATATTCTATGAACACGCGCCACCACACCGTGCAATGTTTCTCCGCAGTATTTCCATAGCAACGGGCATTCAATGACAAACACCATTACCGTGCCATTTAGACAGATAATTTAACATCGTTTCACGGTATTTTGAAAAAAATGATTCGACAGGTTAGTCTAGAGTGTACAGGGCGATTAGTTAGCTGAGTTCCGTGGTACCCCAAATAGGTCGGCACAATGTACAATACTTGCCTTCGTTGTTAATAGTGTAACGAGAGATTTCATTGTTGAATTACCAAACTGTGTTAAATTTCACGACCTGAAATTTTATTTTTTGTTACAATTTATTCAGTTGTTTCAATTTAAATTATTGTTTAAAATTAATTTTAAATAATTAGTTTTAAATTATACACGATAGGTTGTTATTAGTTACTGTAGAATGCGACGTAAGAAAAGAGTATTTGTTTTTAGAGGCAATATAAATTATCAAACAAACACTTGAGATTACAGACGTTTATATTTCACAAGAGATACCCGTATCCACGTGATGCCATCGTACAATATATAGTGTTTTAATTGACATGGGAGCACAACAAAACACGATGGCATTGCGTACAACTAGCGTATGTGCTGGGGTTAGTACACTCCGACTAGCGTTCTATTTGGCATTATTGCTTGGTACAAAACACGTACTATGTGTAACTTTGTCCATTGGAAGCCATGCGTATATAATATCACTGCATCCACTCTCTATTTAAAAAAAACACTGTTCACTGCGCTGACATAACTGTTTCATGTCCAAGGCGATCTTTTTCATACCTGCTGACAATTTAAATGACACCATATGCTTTACCGAGCGAGTTCTATTGACACAGTGAATCCCGATAGTTTGCATAGCGGTGTTTAGTATTGTAAGAGGTTTGTTATGACTAAATAATGGTATAGCGAACATAGCGACGGAACGCATAATATTCGGCGAAAATATATAAAAAAAAAGCTTAACGACGGTAATCACGCGTACTGTCATATGTATAATAACTCCCTGGTGTTTGTCTATTTTAAAACAGTTTTCAGAACGCTTTTGATCGATACAATAATATAATATCGTGTCTCTGATTCTACATATGTCATTATGTATGTTCCCAAACGCGGCTCAGTATAATGTAGTATTAATATCAACATTAATATATATCTATACTTACACGTGGTGTAATGTAGGGGTGGGGGTACCCGGGAAGAAAGGGTGGTGGCAAAGACTTGCTCACTTCTGCCTCGTCACCCTCTCCGTCTAGACGACCGAGCATATTGTCCGCCGATTTTAGATCCCGTTAATCCTATCGATTATGTTCATATTTCCGTTTTATACGCTCACTGTATTGCCGAGGAGAGTGTCGCGGTTGTTGTTGTCGGTACGACGACGTCTACGATACCACTGCGATCAATATAACATTCATATTCAAATATATAGAAACGGCGTCAATTTAAGGCGCTGCGTTTTATCACAGGTGAGCATAATGGGGTTGGCTACACCTTTGTAAACACTGAACAGTGCTGTCTTTTTTTAATTACACTGTACAGCACTGCACAATGATAACCAATGTACGAATTGACGTCGTTGTTGTGACATCATGTAACGAGCTGTTTGATTGGTGCACAGTAACCTGACCTATGGGTCTCCATTATTAAACGCTTTTCTGAAGTGAGTTTTCTTTTTATTCGTGAGCGCGATGGCAGGCACACACCGAAGACGGTCGACATACTGTGAAATTGAAACACGTATACAGGGAATATTTGAATTTACGCTGAATGTGTTCTGAGATAATCTACTGCAAATCGGTGTAACCCTCACATTTGAAGGACCCTGGTTATATTGAGTTGCATGCTATATAATGCGATGAAGATACGGCTCATGAAGATTGAAATCTCAGTGAAAATAAATGTGCAGAAAACATTTCTTCTAGTAACCATGGTTATAAGCGTATTGCAGTGTATGTTGGACGACATAGAGAC